ATGATAAACATTTGAGTGCAAGTTCTTTGGGTAGATACTGGGATTGCTGCATCGAATGGTAGGTCTAAATGTGTTTCTTTGAGGAATCTCCGTACTGCTTTCCATAGTGTTGTACTAATTTGCAGTCCCACCAACAGTATATAAGTGCTCCATTCTCTCTGCGTCCACAGCAGCATCTATTGTTTTTAACTTTTTAGTAACGCCCATTCCGATCAGGGAAAGGTGGTAACTCATTGTGGTTTTAATCTGCATTTCCCTGATGATTAGCATGTGGAGGACTTTCTCATATGTTTATGGGCCATTTGTCTCTCATCTTTCAAAAAACTTCTATTTAGGTCTTCTGCTGGGTTGTTTGTTTTTTCTTGCTGATATGTTTGAGTTCTTTATAGATTCTGGATATCAGTCATTTGTCAGATACACAGTTTGTGAAAGTGTTCTCCCTCTGTAGGTTGTCTATTCACTCTATTGACTATTTCAGTGGCTGTTTAGAAGCTTTTTAATTTAATTAAGTTCCATTTATTTATTTTTGTTGTTGCTGTGTTTGCCTTTGGGGTCTTAGTCATAAGTTCTTTGCCTAAGCCAATGTCTAAAAGAGTTTTTTCCATGTTTTTTCCTAGAATTTTTACGGTTGTGTGCCTTATGAAGTCTTTTATCCATCTTGAATTGATTTATGTATACAGTGAGAAACAGGTATCTTTTTCATTCTTCTGCATGTTGCTATCCAATTTTCCCAGCACCATTTATTGAATAGCACTTCCTTTCCCTGGTGTATATTGTCTGCTTTCTCAAAGATCAGTTGGTTTGGCATAGGTGGTTTTATTTCTCAGTTCTCTATTCTGTTTTACTGGTCGAAGTCTCTACTTTTATACTGATACCACGCTGTCTTGGTTACTAAAGGCTTGTGGTATAATTTGAAGTCAGGTAATGTGATGCCTCCAAATTTGGTATTTTTGCTTCATGATTGCTTTGGCTGTTCAGGCTCTTTTTTGGTTCCTAGTGAAGCTTAGGATTATTTTTTCTAGATCTGTGAAATATGATGTTGGTATTTTGATGGGGGTTGCATTGAATCTGTAAACCACTTTGGACATTTTAATGATTTGATCAATGGCAAAATTGAAAACTGAAATTTTTTCAGAGGAACAATATCACTATTTCGGGCTCTTTCTTGATAAGCTTCTTAAGCTTAGGGAAATAGGGAGGGAAATAGGACCCCCAGTCAGAGGGAAATAGGACCACTTAATAAATCACACCCATCAAATTCCAAATAATGTTACAATGAACAGGTTAGGCCATGATTGTGGGAGATTCTCCTTAATAAGATCAAAGCACTAAACTGGATGGGGTTTTGTTTGTTTGGGGACAGTGAAGAGATATGCATGGAAAGATTTAATTCTTTCTCAGATAGGAGGAAGATCAAAACGGTTAAGATCAACTCTTAAGTTAGAGTCCTGGCTCTGCCTCTTAAAATATGTGCTCAAAGGCAAGGTGTTTAATCTTGCTAATAACTACTTTATTATCTGCAAATGGGTATTGTATGATTTTTTAAATAGCGTAAGCTTTATAGTATTGTTATGAGAATTTGATGAGATTTCATATAGTGTATGTGAACTCATTATATGTTTGTACATATTAATTATATGCATATTGTATAGAACTTCCTGGAATAGATTAAGTACTAGTGAGTTCTAGCCATCAGGAAACAATCATGGAATATCTGAGCTGGAAAGGACTTAGGGATTTTCACTTACCAAGCTCCTCTTGTATACTGAGGGCTCATCAATAGATTATCTCAAGTGTTGCTTGCAGCAGTCCTCAGAGCATGGTGATAGTATGACCTCCATTTTACAGAGGTAGGAACGAAGCACAGAGAGGTACTGCAGTGTCCCCAAGGTCACCGCTCTCATAATTAGTGGAGATAAGATTGAACCCCAGACCCCAGAGTTAATATTCTAAATCACCACACCCCACTGCCTTATCTGTCATCTCATTTTATGGTGGGTGGGGAGAAGAGGCAGAAGTGATCCCCACACGTGACTCAGGACCCATCACAAGCACAAGGATAACCAGAGATGTCCTCCAAGGCAAACTTTGCCATCTGCTGTGCACAGGGAGTATGAATGTGGTTGAGGTGTCCATGAACATCAGTGAGGTGCTGCGTGTGGTGGCGGCAGAGGGTAGTCTCTGACAGGGGACCTAAGGGTGAGTCACTTCAGTCTTCTCTCCAATGCAGGTTTTTTTGTGTTTTTTTTTCTCTCTTCTTCTTCTTCTTTTTTTTTATTGAGACAGTCTTAGTCTGTTGCCCTGAGTACAGTGCTGTGGCATCATAGCTCATAGCAACCTCAGATTCCTAAACTCAAGCAACCCTCCTACCTCAGCCTTCTGAGTATATAGGACTACATACAGGTGTCAGCCCACCTAGTTTTTCTATTTTTAGTAGAGACCAGGCCTCACTGTTGTTCAGGCTGGTCTAGAACTTGTGAGCTCAAGCAATCCACCTGCCTCAGCCTCCTAGAGTGCTAGGATTACAGGTTCCCTGAGTGCTAGGATTAGGCATTAGCCTCCACCCAGTGTTTTTATTTATAAAAAGAGCTATCTCAGAACAGGACAGTTCTGAAACACAAAAGAAATAATGTAGGCAAGTGCAATTTTTAAACTGTATAGGCTTTGAAAATAATTAAATATTTCATCTAGAAAAAAATTATTTGGGAACTTTTGGACAAAAATAGTCCCCAAATCATTTGTAGTGAACCATATTGCTTTAAAATATGTCACCCACAGCTAATCTCTTGGGCACAGTACACTGATCTGATCTTTGAGCACCACTACTCAGGAGGCTAAATGCTGCAGGGGGAGGGGAGTCTCACAGCATGGGTGGGAAGAAATGACTTGTCCCCAGTTCTTGAGTCAGTGAAAACCTTGACGTTGAAAGCACCTCTTGGATCTGATAAAGAATCTCAGGGGTATTGTTTCCTTGTATTGTCCATGACTTTCAGGGAGTGGGCAAGGTTTGAAGTAGGTTATTTTTTTCTTCCTTATACAGAATTGCTCTTCCAGGAAACAAAGGCCTTTGGCCGCAACTGCTTGGCATCTTTCCCAAGCACTACAGTTCCCCGCACGGAGCTGAGTGTGCCAGCTATACCAGGCAAGGGCTAAGGGCAACACTTCTTCAACAGATGCCTTAGGAGGCCCCAGAGAAGTTACAATTGCCTCAGATAATCACTCTTGTTATTATGCATGCCTCAAGAGAAAAAAAACCTTTCCCTAGAGTAGATGTGATTTCACAGTCCAGGAAAGGTCCCCACTAGTCTTCAAAGAGTTGCTATATGCTGTACCAAATGTATACTTTAAGAACTTGTCTTAATCTTAAGACTTTCCTATCTGTTTAAAAATCACCTATAATATATCTACATACACACACACACATATATACACATACACACATATATGTGATTAAAGTATTGCTGTGAGTCATCTCTGCTGGGGAGGAATGAGTGAGTTTATGCTGAAGACCAAGAGAAGGAATGACATGTCAGTTGAATGGCGAGGGACCTCTGCCCCCAACCCATTTTATCTGGAGCTACCCTGGCTCCTCCCTTGTCAGGGCCTTCTATTTTTTTTTTTTTTTCACAGCACTAAATTTTATTAGGGATTTCAATAGGGTCAAGTTTCCAGGAAAGAGGGAGTCCTAGTTAGCACAAAAGCCCACGAAACCTCTTCAGATCTCATAGTGAACCACCGGCTCAGGCTCTTTGGTAGGATCGCCCCCTCACTCCAGGTGTAAATTATTATAAGGATACTGCTTTGGCCCCACAGGCTCGTAGGTGGGGTACATCTCCCCAACTCAGAACATGAAAATCATGAAGGCCACGAAGCCAAAGAGTTGCTTACACATGACATTCCAAGAAACAGGTTTGGGTGACGTGTCCACACGGTTCCTGACATACATGTCTGGGTCCCAGTGTATCGGTTCACCCCAGTTCAACCCAGGTCTGAGTGGTCCCAGTGATACCATGGATCCCTCTCATGCTGTGAGCGGTTAGGGAGTTTGGATAATCACCATACCCCATGCCATCGTCTGGGTAAGGCTCGCAGTCTTCTACACGTATATTCTACTTCTTGGCAGTGGCGGCTTAGGATAGGTCCCCGGGAGCGTATCCTTCGTCATGTGGGAGGCTGTCCGTGCACCTAACGGCCCCATGTTCCGGGCTGCTCTTTGCAGCCATCGTACTCCCAGGACTCTCAGGACCCTGGTCCTGGCCACCGCCATCTTCATCTTCTTCACGGTTCCCCAGGGCCTTCTATCTTTCAAGTCTTACTAACTTAGGAATAAGTTAGCCACCAACATGTCCTGGTTTCAAAGATCTCCCCCACCCTACAACCCTTTCCTTGTGAGAGTCCCCTTCTCTTCCTCTTCCACCCTGTGTTGGTCATTGGGTCACCAGCAGCTGTCCAGAAGAGGACTCAGCCTCTCAGATTCAGCCTCAGCCCCCAGGGTCTGGCAGCCTTGAGGAGGGCCCACTCGGTGCCTGAGGCAGTTGAAGAACAACAGTGGCCTGATCCTAGGTCCTAAGTTTTCCTCTGGAGAAAGTGAGCTTCTGGCATGGAGAGGGTCTTGGGCTTCCTCTCAGCCAGTAGCTGTATTTGTTCCACGGCATTCTGCCCGCTGCCCTGTCCTCATCTCTGTTCTTTCATGCTGCTGTCCTGTCAGAGCCACTTATGAAGCAGGTACAGGGAGGGTGCAAGGAAGGCAACTCCTCAGCCGTCTCTGCGTCGGACACCTCCGCACAGCCTCCACTGCATGAGGGGCTTGGATTCGTCCTCCCTTGGGGGCAGGGAGGAAAATATTAAAGAAAGAATGGGAAGGGGAGACCCCTAACCCTTCTCATCAACGTTAAGTTGCTCAGTGACTCAGTGGCTAATCAAGGAAGCATATGCACTGTCGTCTGGGGACTAACTGATGCTTAACCTTTATTTTTGACAGGTGAGAGCAGACAGCCATCATGGAACCCAAACCTCAGAAGAGTCCAGGTACCCAACAGGCATAATTTCAGAAGAAGTCCTTGTATTGAAAATGACCAATGAGTCCCTTCACGCTAACCAGGATACAGAAATTGGTTTCAGTGGGAATAATGGGTGGCTTTCTGTGACAGGGATTTGGAGAATATAGCAAGAACTGTTGGATTCAGTTAATTGTTGTGTATGCATGCGTTTACCCATCTAGAAATACAGCATTTTCTGATTTTCATGGGCCAAAGTGTTCTGTTGCTTGAAGGTGGTACTTACAGCACAAACTATGACCCAGCATGTACTGGAAAACATTTCCTTAATTTTACATAAAACTCCCGCTTAAAGAAGCTGCCTAGAATCGGGGCTTATTATGAGGTAGCTCAGGGTATATTACTCAAATGTTCTTGTCAGTGCAGGTGAGTGGTTAGAAGAGCTGAATTTAGGATAAAGGCAGTTAAATTATCTAATTAAACTCGAAAATATTTGTATAGCACCCATTACTAGTGAGTCAGATTCATTGATAAGAGCTATTACCTGCAAGGAGTTAGTAATCCTGCTGGGAAGTTAAGCAAGCAGCTGTACTAGGAAGTTCGTGTCAGCACATACAGTCAGACTATGATAGGAATCATGAAATAAATACAAAATGCTATGGAGTCTGAAGAAGAAAAAACATGTAAGTACTAATGGGGATCCAGAGACGTTTTATGGAGAAGATGTTTGAGCTAGACCCAATGGGATGAGTAGGAATTTAAAAGAGATTAAACCCAGGCCTGGTGGCTCACATCTATAATCCCAGAACTTTAGGAGGCTAAGGTAGGGGGATCACCTGAAGATTCGAGATCAGCCTGGGCAACATAGCAAGATATCTATCTCTATAAAAAAAAATTAAAAATTAGCCAAACATAGTAGTGCACACCTATTGTCTCAGCTACCTGGGAGGCTAAGGTGGGATAAGCACTTGTGTCCAAGATCTTGAGCCTGTGAATAGCCATTGAGCTCCTGGGCAACAAAAAGAAACTCTGTCTTTAAAAAAATAAAAATTAAAAATAAAGACATTGGAAAAGAGAGCATGTCTCAGCGGAAGGGACGGTATGAGCAAAAGCAATGAAGTGGTTTAAAGGCAGAATATGTCAGAGCAGAGTATGATTATGAGTTAGGATGGAGAAAATAGAGGATGTGGCTGCAGAAAGATGGCGCCATATCACGCCTGACTTGGACACTGCATGCAGGCAACCTCTAAAGCATTTTGAGCGTAGAAGTGGCATGGTCAGGTTTCTATTTTAGTTGGTCATATTTTTAAATAACTCTGTTATAGGTTATTACAACTGATATCCAGTAAAATGCATAAGTTATTTTATTTCATTTTACTTTATTTTTGAGACAGAGTCTCTGTCACCCTGGGTAGAATGCTGTGGTGTCATAGCTCACAGCAACCTCTGACTCTTGAGCTCAAGTGATCCTCTTGCCTCAGCCTCCCAGGCAGCTGGCACTACAGGCACCTGCCACCATCCCCTGCTAATTTTACTCTTTTTAGTAGAGACAAGGTCTCACTGTTGCACAGGCTGATCTCAAATTCCTGAGTTCAAGCTATCATGAACAATGCCGCTATGAGCATGTGCATACATGTACTTGTCTGAGTCCCTGTTTCAATTCTTTTGGGCATATATACCCAGGGTTTGAACTGAAGGGTCATATGATAAGTCTGTGTTTTTAACTTTCTGAATAACCCCGGAACTGTTTTCCATAGTGATTGAACCATTTGACACTGACCATTTGACACAGTCAGGTATGAGTGTATCGTATTGTTATTTATTCTCTGCCTCCCTTGCTCCATTCATTCCCTATTGGTCTCATTGGCTCTTTGTTTCCTATTTCCCCTTTTTCTGCATTCTTTTTTTTTTTTTTTTTTTTTTTTTTTTGCAGTTTTCGGCCAGGGCTGGGTTTGAACCCACCACCTCCAGTATATAGGGCCAGCGCCCTACTCCTTTGAGCCACAGGCACTTCCCTTTGCATTCTTTTAGACTGAGATTTTCTGTGATTCTGTTTTATCTCTGTTGCTGGCTTATTTGTTTCGTTATTTTAGTGATTCCTTTAGGTTTAAACACATTTTTAACATATTACAGTCTAACTTCAAGTTATCATACGAATTCACATATAATATAAGAGCTTTACAACAATGTATTTCCTACCCCTTCAACCTCTATGACTGCTGGCCTTTATGCTACCACTGGAATACATCTGACTTGTACAGGCACACAATAAATGTTATTCTTTTTGTTGAAACAATCGATTGATTTTTTAATGTTTTAAATAGTAAGGAAAAAATTACAAATATTCACACTTGTAGCGACCGTTTCCGTATCCTTCATCCTTTGTATCGATTCGGATTTCCATCTGATATCACTTCCCTCTGGTTGGAGGATTTCCTTTAGCATTGCTTACAGTTCAAGCCTCCTAGTGATGAATTCCTTCAGCTTTGATGCAGGGTAGACCTAAGTTCATGTGCAATTGACTATGTTCACCCTTATCTTGAAATTGCCTTCATTTTAAAAAGACATTTTTGCTGAGTATAAAGTTTGAATGATAGTATTTGTTCATTGTTTTAAATATTGTTCCACTCTTTCTTGTTTGCATTGTTTCTGAAGAGAGATCAGTATATTTGCTTCTTGTTTTTGTTCTGTTCATATCATGTCTTTCTTTTCCTCTGGCTACTTTTAAGATTTCTTTCCCCTTGTCCTTGGTATTAGCAATTTGATCAGGATGTGCCTTGGCATACTTTCCTCTGTTTACCTGGTGTTGGGCTTCCTTGAGCTGCTTCAATCTCTAGGTTTATCGTTAATGTTTGTAAAATGTTCATCATTATTTCTTTGGATTTTTTTTTGTCTCCCTCTCTCACTTCAGTGACTCCTATTACTTGTGGATTAGGCCACCTGAAATTGTCCATAGTGTACCAGTGCTCTTTTTAAGTTTTTTTTTTTGTTTGTGTTTTGCTTTTTTGTTTAGGAGCTTTTAAAGCTTAAACTGAGAAAAATCACAAGTTGAATTTTTTGTTCACTCTTTGTTTATTTTGAAAGTCTCTATGGCTATGCCTTCAAGTTCATTAATCTTTTCTTCTACAATATTTAATCTGATTTTGCTCTCATTTCCATCAGTGCTTTTTTTTTTTTTCTTTTCCTGAGACATCGTAGTTTTCATCTCTAAAATTTCACTTAGGCTCTTTTTTATATCTTCTATGTCTCTGCCTAACTTCGTGAAAATACGGCAATAATAACTATTTTAATAACTTTTAAAATGACCTCTGCCAGGGCTAACACCTGTGTCAGGTCTAGGCCTGTTTTAATTGATTGGTTAGTCTCCTCATTACAGGGCATGTCTCCTGTTTCTGTGCAGGCTTGGTTATGTTTTGATTGCCAGACATTGCAAATTTTGCCTTGTCAGGTCATGGATATTTTTACATTCCTATAAATCTTGAGCTTTGTCCTTGAGGTGGCAGTTAAGGTTTTTGGAAACAACCCTGTTCTTCTAAGTCTTTCTTGGTTCTTTCTCTGGCCTCAGGTAGTTTCAGCACACACGTGTATTGATCAGTATTGTTGAATACTTGAGGGGGACCATGTGGGTTGCCCTTTGTGTTAAGCAGACACAAACAAAACCACCTGCAATTAAAAATGGTTAAATAAATAGGTTTCCAAAATGTTAGCTGCCTCTCTTAGTGTTGAGATTATAGGCAGTATTATACTTTTCTGTATTTTCCAAAATGTCTATAATAAATATGTACTACTTTCATCATTTTGAAAAACACAATTAATGTTAAATTAATTGGTTTCAGTTTGGGGTTTGTGTGTGTGTGTGTTTGCTTTATTTGTTTTGAGCTTGGTTTTGCTTTCCCATCCAGGCTGTAGGTTTCAGTTTTCCCCTCCTTAGTTTTGGAAAAGGCAGCCTTTTCTTTCTTTCTTTCTTTCTTTTTTATTAAGTCATAGCTGTGTACATTAATACTATCATGGGGTACAGCGGGTTGTTACTATATACAATTTGGAATACTTTCATCCAACTGGTTAACATAGCCTTCATGTTATTTTCTTAGTTGTTGTGTTAAGACATTTATATTCCACATTTAGTAAGATTCACATGTACCCTTATGGGATAAATCATAGGCACGTTCCCACCAATCACCCTCCCTCCACCCATCCTCTCCTCCCTTTCCCCTTTCCCCGTATTCTTGGACTAAAATTGGGTTATAGTTTTCCTACGATAGCTATAGATTCGTTTCATAATAGGGTTGAGTACATTGGATACTTTTTCTTCCATTCTTGATATACTTTGCTTAGAAGAATATTCTCCAGCTCCATCCATGTAAATATGAAGGAGGTAAAGTCTCCATCTTTCTTTATGGGGCAGCCTTTACTTTAAAAATTAAAGCCTCCTTATTAAGTGAAAACAGTCAGGATTTGGTAATATGGCTGTTGGAACTATTCTGATGGTGCCCACCCAGTAATAACGGGGAGGCAGCTGTCCTTACCTTCCCTCCTTCCCAGCGTCTGTAACAACTCCACCTGCCCCCTGGCCTCCCCAAATAGCTCTTTGCCACTTCATTTTTAATAGCAGGTGGTTTTCATTTGTTTGTTAAGCCAAAGGGCAATGCAGAATTATCATGCTTTTGCAATGGAAATGGAGACAAATCATCGCTTACACCCAGAGAGCCAACGGCGCACTTCAGAAACAGAGCCAGACGGTGTGAGCTGAATTAGGTGCTTTTAAATATTGTCTGAATGAAGGCCTCACATGGTAGATAAATAAGAATTACACACTGGGTTCTTTGTTTTCTTGGGTTATTATAGGTGTACTTTCCAATAACTGAATAATTTGAGGACTGTTTCAGAGATAAACAGTGTTTTCCAATTAATGCAATTCTTTTCAGAAATTAAGGGAGGACAAACTGGGTCCTGTTCACTTCTCTTTTATTAGGCAAACCGTTTACATTTTATTATGAAAATGAAGTCTGCAAACAGGATTACTTTATTAAATCACCACCTCCTCAGCTTTTCTTCTCTGCGGTAAGTATTCACTATGATTTAACAAGCCTCCCACTTGCCTCATGAATGTTTTTAAAATTTCTCTCTTTCCTCTGAGATTTAACCAAGATGTAGAACCTTTTTGATTTTTCAGACCTCTTGGAAAAAGCGGTTTTTTGTTCTGTCAAAGAATGGAGAAAAGGGCTTCAGTCTTTCCTACTACAAAGACCATCACCAGCGAGGGTCCATTGAAATTGATCGGTGTGTATCCAAGGAAGAAAATTTGTTTTTTGTTTTTTGTTTTTCGAGACAGAGTCTCCTGGTATCGCCCTGGGTAGAGTGCTGTGGGGTCACAGCTCACAGCAACCTCAAATTCTTGGGCTTAAGGAATACTCTTGCCTCAGCCTCCCAAGTAGCTGGGACTACAGGCACCTGCCACCATGCCCAGCTATTTTTTATTGCAGTTGCCATTGTTGTTTTAGCTGGCCTGGACCAGGTTTGAACCCTCCAGGCTTGGTGTATGTGGCTGGCAGCGCCATAACCACTGTATTACGGTCACCGAGCCCAAGCGAGAAAACTTTTATAACTAGTGGTATGAAGTCAAATTTGCACACAAGTTGTGTGCAAATTGAAACTTGAATCACTGACCAAAGCAACCAAGTGCTTCAGAGTTATTTAATATTTGTGACTGAACAGGAACTGAAATAGTGAAGGCTTTGAGTAAAAGATACTTATTTTATAGTCTATGTTATAGTTGATAAATCTTTAATTAAGAAGCATTCAGTGGGCTCGGCACCTATGGCTCAAGTGGCTAAGGCGCCAGCCACATACACCTAAGGTGGCAGGTTCGAATCCCCAGCCCGGGCCCGCCAAACAACAATGATGGCTGCAACGAAAAAATGGCCGGGTGTTGTGGCGGGCGCCTGTAGTCCCAGCTACTTGGGAGGCTGAGACAGGAGACTCGCTTGAGCCCAGGTGTTGGAGGTTGCTGTGAGCTGTGATGCCATGGCACTCTACCCAGGGAGATAGCTTGAGGTTCCGTCTAAAAAAAAAAAAAAAAAGAAGCATTCAGTAAAGAAGGCCTTTGATTTATGTAATTTGTGGACCAGATGAGCACCTGAAATTGCCATTTTATAAAAGCAAGATGTATTTTGAAAATGTTCAGATCAGCTGTTTTTGTCTTCTCTTTAAAACATTATGTACAAAAAACTTGAAAACGATAATAATTTGTGGAATCAGGAATCCAAACAAAATAGGAACTTTGGGATTAAACTGTAGGCTCCACCAAGTTATTTCTAATTAATCATAAACCAAATCCAAAATCCCAACTTATTTTCTAAAATTATTAGATAACCTTCAAAACACGTATCAAACAGGTAGGTCTAAGTTTTATTGGGCTTGACTCCCAGTATAAAATATTTATTTGTTTTCTTTCTATTTTTGTACTTACATTGATTTCATACTCTGCGTCTGTATCAAACAGAAATTCCAGTGTAGAAGTTGGCATAAGTAACCAGGAAAAGATGCAGACTGTGCAGAAGATGTTTAAATGCAACGCAGATGAGGTGATGTCCCTCAAAACGACTAGCAGGGAATACTTCCTCATTGGCCATGACAGGTGAGAGAGGGTGGTGCCAGCATCCAGAGCATGTGCACAGAACAAATCAGCCCAGAAAACAAAACATTCTAAACCAATTTAAGGTAAACACGCTCTGTGGAGAGACCCAGGCCACAGGGTCTCCAACCTGTCTTGTCAGTCTTCATTACTTGTTAAAACACTTTGGAATGTCACTGTACTCGTTTCCTGGAGCTGTCAGATGAACTACCACAAACTGTGTGGCTTAGAGCAACAGAACGTTATTGTCTATTCTGGAGTCTAAGAGTCTCAAATCAAGGTGTTGGTTGGGCTGTGCTCCCTCTGAAGCTGCCAGGGAAGGATCTGTTCCAGGCAGATATGTTCTCTCCTAACTATAGGCAGTTCCCTTGGCTCATGGCAACATAACTCCAGGCTTCACATGGTGTCCTCCCTGTGCGCATGTCTCTGTGTCCAAATTGCCCCTTTATATAAGGACACCTGTCATGTTGGGTTAGGAGCCCATCTTACTCCAATGTCACTTCTTCTTGACTAATCACATTAGCAACAACCGTATTTTCTAATGCGGTCACATTCGGAGGTATGGGGGGGTTGGAACTGGAACATATGAATGAGGGGGGCCAAAATTCAATGCATAACAGTCACCATCACCCCAGATGCATTCTACATAAAAGAATCCAACACACAAACTTCTGTACAAGGTACATATATTAGGGAGGGACTGAGCTCACCCCTCAAGGAGTCTCCAGTTTTCCAGTGAGGGCCCTGGTACCGGCAGTGATGCCTAGTGGATTCTTTGTTGGTGAGTATTTATCTGCTGCAGTGAGTGGCAAATGGGTTTATAGGGGCTGGGGGAGTGGTGGCAAATGGGTTTGGGGCGGCCGATGGCTTTGGGAGTTGGGGGAGTGGTGGCAAATGCTGAAGTTGAAGTATGAAGAACTCTGGTCTGTTTCAGATGGGCCCAATGCTTTCTTTTAAGTTGTCATGTGAGTCAACAGAACAGAAGATGTGATTTATACAAAACCATTCAAGCACATTCTTCATAACCATGTGCATTCCCTATGGGGAGACGCACCTGGATGGTTACACAGAAATGGAGCCCACATGTTAGGGGGGTCGCTTCAGAATAGAAAAGGAATCTGTGTCAAAGCCAAAAGCTCCAAACCCTGTGATCACCACTATTATTTTCTATTTTACTTCCCGTTTCTCTGAACTTGCCCCATGAAGGTGGCATGAGAGATAATTCTGCTGTGCAAAGGCAGATGGGCCATTTAAACTACTTCGGGAAAATCTTTGTTCCCCTGATTCCTGCTCTCCCTGCCTGTTCTAATCTTAATACAAGATTCCCTTTCTGGTTCAAAAGGAACGCAGGTGCCATTGGTGCCATTGTTGGCTGAAAATGTATTCCTGTCAACAGGGAGAAGATAAAAGACTGGGTCTCCTTCATGTCATCATCTTGCCAGGATGTAAAAGCAGCACATCAGAATACAGAGGTGACTCTCCATCACTAACAAAATAACAGGGCCCCTGAACACAGCCCCCTTCAACAGGGAACAATGGTGGCTTTTGTTTTTCACCTTAGCAACCGGTGTTTATACAAGGAACAAATAAGCAAGAATGTGTACGCCCCTGGTTGGTTTTTGTTTTTTTATGATTAACAATAGGAAGAAAAAAAAGGGGGGGAAATATTTTTGCATTTTGCCAGAGAGCTAAAATACAGACACTTGAGATTTTCTTCATCATGGAAGGGGGAGGAAAAATCAACCTTAGCATTTTAAAATAGTAGCTGGAACCATAGTATTTTCGATCATTGTTATTCAAGCTACGTAACCAGTTGCCTTTCAAGTGACTAAGTCCAGGGTGGTTTCTATAAAAATGTTTTTCATCTTGCTTGCATTTTAATATACTGTCTCTTATGTAAGCGCTAATAACTGTAAGTTTTTAATCATTTTCAAAGGGCCTCTGCTAATTTTTTTAAGTCCCTTCTTAGCTCAGACTTTTATAGATGGGACTTCGGTCTCTAGGTAGTCTTTCTTTTTAAAACATGTTTTCTAGGCTGTTCTATGCTTACAGCAAAAGCCAAAGCCAAGGAGGAGAAAGCACAGCATGCCTGCAAGTAGACTCCAGTGATTAAGCCAAGGGGACAGGGTATGAGGGAGTGTAGTTGAGAAGATCGGCTGAGAGAAAGTCAGGTCACCTCTGAAGGCCAGTCTGAGTATTGTCAACAGCCTGGGAATAGGAGAGAGACGGTAGATTCTTGTCTGAGTGACTCAATGCTGGCCATCCAGCAATATGAGTGTTGAATGGCCATGGGGAGAGACTGGAGGCAGGCAGCTGGGTGAGACCTAAGCCATGCTATGGTGACGTCATTCTTTTGTGTAAGCAGGAGAAACTCTCCCTGGGTGATGAAAAGCCCTCTTCCAATCCCAGCCCTCTCCCTGGTCCTTCCAGCACATGGGAGGCTGTTGGCTCCAACACATCGGAGGCTGTTGGCTCCAGCACATTAGAGGCTGTTGGCTCCAGCACATGGGAAGCTGTTGGCTCTAGCTCTCCGAGGGACAGTCTCCCAGACTTGGTAATCATACTTACCTCTTTCCCTCTCAGACACCACACCTGGGAGTCAGCTAATGCTTCAAAATCTTACCAGTTAGCAGTTGACTTTGACCGCGCCCACCTTGACAATGATCCTTCGCCCTGACAGTGACCCTATATGAACTTTATTTTCTGTGCCACAGATGAGCCTCACTGTTGGCCCTGAATACGTGTCAACATGTTTGTTCATTTGGATGCTCTTTGTTGAGATAGAGTCTCACTCTGTCACGTTGGGTAGAGTGCCGTGGCATTGTAGCTCACAGCAACCTCAAACTCTTGGGCTCAAGTGATCCTCTTGTCTCAGCCTCCCAAGTAGCTGAGACTACAGGAGCCTGCCACAATGCTGGGCTAGTTTTTAGACACAGGGTCTCACTCTTGCTCAGGCAGGTCTTGAACTCCTGAGCTTAGGCAGTCCACTTGCCTTGGCTTTTCAGAGTGCTGGGATTATAGACATGAGCCACCGTGCCTGGCTCATTAGCACGCTCTTGACATGCATTTGGGGATACTGTGCTAAAATCCCTCGGCTAAATCAAATCTTGTCTGGCAACTTTTTCCTTTGTTCTACACACGGCACACAGATCCCTCCGTAAGAATATGCCCCAGACACAGCCTATTCCCTCTGTGCTGTCTGCTCTGCACAGTCAGGGACAGAGAGCTTGTAATTTCCTACCTTTGCCCTGATTGGTCTTCCTTGTCACTATAGCTCCATGGCACTTCACCTTCATTCCCAATAAAATCCACTTGAGGAAGTAAAATATAATACAGTTTCCTCTTAAAAGCAACCTGTAATTGTCCCCTCAGCTTTCTTGGATTTGCCGTGTTCCCAAGTTTGGATATTGGTAATAAATTGGCGGAGGGGTTTTGTTCTCCTGCGTGGATACTATTTCCTCCCTTAGAGACTCAGTGACTTTCCCCCATCTGTGGGCATTGAGCTCATCTAATGAGGCACAGCCTCCTATTTTATCTAATTAGTAGCTCTGCAACTATTTTAAAAGCTTTCTGTAGCATATCAAATTCACCAGGCCAAACAGCACGTCTTAGTTATTCCTTGAGTAGAAACAGTGGCGTGAAACACCAGTGACTTAGGCAGGCTGCCCCTTTTCAGTTTTTCGCTCACGATATCTCCTTCCCCCCAGAGACGACATTAGTGGTCATTTTGCTTTTTCACATTATGTATTCAGATCCAGTGAGGTTTCAACCAGCTCGAGGTAAAAGTACCATTTGCCTTGCTGGGGCTTGTTTAAATTAAGTGGGGAACATTTCTTTACCCCCAACTCCACTAGATCTGGCTCCCTGAGTTTGGAGCTAGAGAGATGGATACAAAGACAACTGTTTCTTTTTCTTGTTAAGTCACCTTCTTTCAAGGACCTCCTAGAGAACATTGAGAGTCCTTTCCAAACCTCTTGCTCTAAGGCATAGTTCTTGGAAGAATTAAATTGTACTTATCACAGTTTTCTTGCCAAACAAAGCAGCCGCTTTGTAGTAGAGTATTGTGCATCAGTTGGGGGAGGGGAAGCAATAGTTAGTTGAACCTAGATCACCTTGAAGCCTTTAGTTTATACTATCACATGATCAAGACAACCAAATTACATTGCTATGGAAACAATAGAAGTATGATAGCAGAACAGAAAAGAGAAATCTCCAGCAGGAAAAGGAAAGATTTAGTGCCCGGACACTGAGTTAATTACCTTCTCAGATGGTATTGGATGATAACCAGAAAAAGAAGGGGATGAGCACTCATGGCAGAGCTTAGGGACTTAGAACGCCACCCACGGGAGAAAACCACTTGTTCTAAGTTACAGTTCCAGATGGTAGAGGAAAAACAACGCCTGAATGATGTGCTTATATTTTTATATCATCAGTGGTGTCCCTGACTCCAAAGGCAAATTCAAGTTGTGTGGGCTTCTGGATGTAACCTTAGAAGATCTGCTGGTCTTTTCAACCCAACTAGTCTATTATGGCTGTTCCGGAAAACATGTGATTTAATTCCATATCTTACAAAGAAAAAAAAATTAGTTCCTTTTTTTTTTTCTCTTTTATTCAGAATTCACTGGAAATAGATTCTCCAGGATTCAGGCAAGCTCATCTACCAGATGACGTCCTTTCAGAGACCACTGAAGATACAGAGGAAGAGAGTCACTACCTTAGTCCTCGTAGTGTTCTTTTAGAGGTAACCCCAACCTTGTCCATTCATCATACAAATATTTACTGTGTCCCAGCCATGCACTATTTGCAAGACACTAGGCTGGAGTCCATAAGGACATAGGCGAATCAGGTGATGTGATCAAGGTGCTAACACTTGAATGTAAGCCGACTATCATACAAGATAGAAAGAGCTCTGTGCTGAAGACTGATGCTTCAGGGCTACATGAGGGGCGTGGGGAGAGGAGCTAACTTCCGGACAAGAGACCAGGGAAGGTTGCACGGAAAAGATGCATTTGACCTTGTCTGATGGGTTAAATTTGGATGTGAGGGATTGACTCAAAGACCCAGAGTAGGGAGTCTTTCTATATTCTTGCCAGAATAGTATGAGCAAAGGTGCTTGGATGACAAATGGGGTGCCATGTATCAGTCTGTTCATCCACTGGAAGCCCTTCCTGACTGCCTTCTCTGCACTGGCCCTGGGCCATGCTATAGACATGATGGCTGCAATAATGAATCTGACATTGACCCTGTCCTCAGAGATGACAGTCTTATCAGTCTCTGTGTGGCAGTGTGACAGCAAAGGCATGGTTAAAGTGCTCAGGAAGCAATAGAAAGGATGGATTTTCTCTAGCAGAGTCAGGTTGAAATGGCAATTGGTGCATGTGTGGTGAGCAGTTCAGTTAGGCTGGAACCTGGAGTGTACGAATGACATAGTGGGAAATAAAGCAGAGAAGAGTCAGATCATGCTGGGTCTTGAGTGCCGAGTTGACTCCATTCTGTAGGTAGTGTAGAGGAGGTGATGGCTTCTGAGAGTGGGAAGTAGCAAAACCGGAACTAACTTTCCTAATCCTTAGCAGCTACCTGGGCAGCAGACCGCAGAGAGAAGAGCCCAAGTGGGAGATAGGAGAACAAAAGGGGGGTGGAGGGGCTTATCATTCCCAAATTGGGGGTTTTCTACAAGTTGGTGACATGGGTTTCTGCAGAGTAAGCATCCTCGGCCCAGATAAAGGCAGTTAGACAAGCCTCTGAGCAGCAGAATTCTCAGAGCCTTTAGTATGCCGTGGTGCATCATAAATAGCCAAGCCAGATGCAACGCACAGCATTTCCTAAGCTCGTTTGAGCACAGAGCCCTTCTTTCCCCAAAAATATGTTTGTGCTTGTGTTCCCTGGGACTAAGTCCTTTGTGGTAGTCCAAACAACCAGTCAGGTGTGTACCAAGCACCAGTTAAAGCCTGGCATTTGCTGGATACCTTATGGGATGCAGTCTCTAAGGCAGATAAGACTAAGCTAAAAGACAAAATAAAGTACAAAACTAGGCAATAGAAATCCAGAAAAAGGAGAGCTTGGCAGTGGCTGAGGCAAGCTGAGGAGGCTGTGGGACGTCAGCCAGGCCTGAACATGATTTCAATAGGCAGAAGAGAAGAGGGGCATTCCAGGTGAAGGAAGCAGGTGCACGTGGGGACAGGAAGGGGGACAATGGGAAGACTGGCCCGACTGGAGGTAATGTTCCAGTTATGGGTTAGCAGTGAACTTGCTAGGAAGCCTTAGGGATTTTGAACAATCATTGTTGCAAGTGACTGTCTTTGTTCTGAAGGAGTTATTGAGAGCCTTCCAGCAGCCATATTTTCTTTCTTTTTTTTTGAGACAGAGTCTCACTATGCTGCCCTCACAGTTCACAGCAACCTCAAACTTTTGGGCTTAAGCAATTCTCTTGTCTCAGCCTCCCAAGTAGCTGGGACTACAGGCACCTACCACAACGCCCAGCTATATTTTTGTTGCAGTTGTCTTTGTTGTTTAGCTGGCCTGGGCCGGGTTCGAACCCACCAGCCTTAGTGTATGTGGCCGATGCTGTAACCACTGTGCTATGGGAGCCAAGCCCCAACAGCCATATTTTCAAAGTCCTTTAGACACCCCTCCCCACCTAGCAACCTGGGCTACCTGAGAACACTGTAGTCTAACACCAGCTCTACCTTGTTCCTGAGTCATCGATCTAGTCAAGCATCATGACTCTAGAGTAGAACTGACTGGGGGAAGGCTCTCAGGTCATTAAGTGTCTAATGATGAAGCAGAAAGCAGCAATTTAATACAATAGAAAGAACACCTGTATCAGGAGCATGGGGGATTCAGGAGAAGAAAATTGACTTTGAGTCTCCCAGAGTCTGCTGGTTGTGGTTAGGTTGGTCCATATACCCCAAATGAGAAACATGGTCATCTGGTGTGGGTAGACCCACTATCTCAGGGCCCAGAGCCTTAACAGTAGGAACAAGAAGCTACCTGACTGATGGGTAGACTCGTATCTTTACATGTATTCTTCTTGTCTATAGCTGGATAATGTTATTGCTGCCAACATTTCTGATGAATCCATTGAATGGGATAGTCCAGGCCAGGTCTCCAGGAGAAAGGAGTGTCATTATATGTCAATGAAATCCTGGTAAGGAAAACTGCCCTTTAAAAAATTAATTTCAGCTAATCTGCTATCATAGAATAATTACTGTCAGTTCATTTTAATAGTTGATAAATTGATGCAAAACATTACCCCAGACCAAGTGCAGCCTATTATTCAGCATATTATTTCTTGTTCACAAAACAAGAAAATGTGGCAGAGGTTTCCCCACCCACAGAAAACCATCGATGACGTCCTCGGGACATTTTCTGTCTCCCTGGGGAAGTTATTTTCTATTTTGCATTTATGTCTTTCACACTCTTGCTTCTGTCCTCCAAACCCTGGAAAGGGTTATTTTGATTCCATATCCATTTTCAGAAGGAAATTTTGTTGGATCTGATTCTAACTATGGCTGTGATTCTGATGGTGGTTGGATATACTTCAAGCCCTTGTTAGTTTTCCACATGGCGGCTAGCTACTCAAATCTGACACACACCGTGGAAAATTGTAAATAGACATGCTAAAAAAGGGTTTGTTTTAACTTCTCATTCTCTAGTTTTTTCCAAGAGACATCCCATAAGTCTGAGGATGGCGGCAAAGAGGAGCCCCAGACCTTACCTGAGACCCGGGATGGGAGGCCTCACGTGCAAGAGCAAGACTCAGACAGTGATTCATGTCTTTCACCTGCCAGTGCAGAAGCACAGGCCACAAGTGACCAGAAGGGGTCGGCATCCCTCACTGTTGTGCAGTTGTCCATATTAATCAAGTAAAACTCAAATTTCTAAAACTTGACAGGCTCCTGCAGCTTCCTCCTCCTCCTCCTCTTCCTTCTCTTCTTCTTCTTCATCTTTTTCTACTTTTGCATAGAATTTAAATTTCAAAGCAGTTCCTAAAAGTCTCCAAGTCAGCCAAGAATCTGACCAGCTTCTCCTTGTCATTGATGCTGTGTTAGAGGAGAGTGAATAAATTCTTTTGCTGGGGCAAAGCAATTCCTGGGCTGGGGGTAGCATGTTCAACTACTTTTGCAAATTCTCCTTTGGCAATCTTTCATGTCCTGGAACTCTGGATCCACACTGACCCAGGTCGCATTCACCCGCTTCTTACATCAGCGTGATTATGGAGACAAAGTCGCATGAGGCTTAATTATCAACTAGGAGAGGGGGATTTAGGTTTTAAGTAATACCAAGAGCTTTTGATGTGATCATTGGAATTTTTACTCATCTCCCTGTCTTCTTCTATGGAATCTTTTCCTGCAAAGAATTATGCAGACTGAGCCAATGTGGACAGTTATGTAACCAATTTAGTCCATTATCTGCCTCCCTTCCTCTTGCCTACCACCTACTGCCACATCCCAAGAGGGTGGGGAAGGACATTAATGAGTTCTTTTCAGAAATTTGAATTTATATTTTTCTCCAAATATTTTGGACAACCTTTACCTGGAAAGTATCATCTCAGAAATAAGAGGCCAAAAGTGTACTCAGAAAGCATAGTTCAGGGCCAGGGCCAGTTGCCAGCTCTGACTGTTACAACGTCTTGTCTCATAGCAACGTCCCTGATGAAGGCCAACTGGAGAAGCTGAATGTGTTCCTTTCTCCTCCTGATGTCATAAACTATCTCACGCTCATAGAAGCTGCAGGACGCATATGGTAGGTTGGCGATTTGACTGTTATCGATTATACTTAGAGTTGGAAGAGGTGAGAATAATTGTGTCTTGAAACACTGTATTTGGCAAAATTGAGTAGGGGGCTTGGATTGCTATATTACTGTTGTTATGAGAAGGTCTCCAAGGCAGAAATGAGGGTATTGTTATTGAGGAGAGTCACTTGGGAGCCTGGGATGGGGAGGAAGGGTGTAAGAGGACCCAAGAGTCCAAGAAGCAGCCAATTTCTGACTTCTCAAAGATGAAGGAGAACGGGCAGGAATACATCTGGTCCAAGGGCATCATTCCCAATCATTGAACAACAAGTGTTTGAAGAATGAATGACATTGATGAAGTTAATAAAATTCAAAGTTCTAAATAATAAAGGCAGACATATTAGGGTCTAAGACTTCCAGACACAAGGCAATCACTGTTTTTTTGATACTACATTCTTACAAAGACTTTGTAATTTATTTTGAAGGAAGGTTACATTTTTATAAGAGAAGGACCTTTAATGTACAGTAAATGCTACACATTAGTAGTCTTCTAAGTTCTAAGTGGGGAAGAACCATAAAGTTCCATTTTTCCAAATTTTCCATGCTCTAAGGCTCAATAAATACTTGACCAAAACTGTGGACGTCTCTGTGACTGAGCTTGCTCATTGGTTAATTCGTTTGTTTATTAGATACTCATTGTGTAATCATTATCTACCCACTTATTCCAGTAAACACGTATTGAGCACCCTATGTTTATTTGGAGACACGGGTTTGTAAAAATTAAAAATACTAGAAACAAATAGTGGTACCCTACTTCAGGATCGCATAGCCTGGTGAAAAAGACAGCCACACAAACAAGCATATGTAAAATGAAATATAATAAGTAAGGTACTCACAAATGCAATAGAAGACCAGGAGAAGGAGAGATTAATTATAGCAAAGGCATGGAAGACAGGACTTTGTAAGGGTGATATGATTTGAATTGGGCCTTGTAGCAGGGGTTAGGTTCCCATAGCAGTAATAGAGGAAAGAATATTACAAACTAGCAGTACCCAACTTTTTTTTGGCAGCAGGGACCAGTTTCATGGAAGACAATTTTCCACATATGGGGTGGGGGTTGGGTATTAGATTCTCCTAAGGAGCGTGCAACCTGGATCAGACACATGTGTGGTTTACAGCAGTACCTATGCTCTTATGAGAATCTAATCCCATCAAGGCTGATGTGACACAAGGTGGAGCTCAGGCGGTGATGTGAGCCATGGGGAGTGGCTATACATATAGATGAAGTTTCCCACACTCGCCTCTGTGTGACCTGGATGTGGGGTACCACCTTTTGTTTGTTGTATTTTAATTACTGTGTGGCCTGGTTCCTAACAGGCCATGGACCACTACTGGTCCGCTGCTCAGGCGTTGGGGACCACAGTTACAAACAGAAAAGGGAGGTCATCTCTTTCAGAGTGACACACCTTAGAGTGTAGTGTCCCCCACGTGCCCTGCCCTCCCAGCGAGCTCCTTCTCACACACCCTATTCCCCCTGCAGTGTGGCTCAGTGGGAAGGTCCCCCACGCCTGGGATGCTTATTTTGCCATGGAGATCATCTTTTGGCAGTGAATGACCTGAAGCCCCAGAGCCTGGAGGAGGTTTCCTTGTTTCTCACCCGATCCATCCAGAAGGAGGTGAGTGCTACTCACCAGCCCTGGCCAGGGCGAGTCAGTGCCAGAAGGAACCAGATCGAGGTCTCAGATGGAGTCTGAAAAGAACTCTGAACACAAATGGGATTCTTCCTTCTTCTGCCACCAAGTCTAAATAAACAGAGTGTTCTCCTAGGAAGGACTCTTTCAGAATTCTTTCACAGCAAGTAGCATCTGGAGAAAACCCTGGGCTAGGAGATAGGCAACCTGGGTTCAGCACCTCAAAGGCAAAAAGAGCTTCTGTGAAATCAGGCTGGCTCAGGGCTTGTGAACCAGCTCCTTTAACCAATTTGTGCTTCAGTTTTCTCTTCTGAAAAGCCAGGGATAATGATAGTACTGGTTGTTGGAGGATGAAATGAGAGTAACGTGCTTACAACAGTGATTGGCACATAGTAGGTGCTCAGTACTTGTTTAGTATGATAGTTACTAGTTACTTTTACTTCTATGACTAGCTGTGGAATGCAGTGTAAATTCACTTTTTTAAGCCTCACTTTCCTCATCTCAGAAGTCATCATAGCTTTACCTTCCTAGAGTTATGGTAAGAATCAAACATGATATGTGGGGATGCACTAAGCATGTGTGTCCTAAAGAATGAGCCGTCATCCTGGACAGCAGGACACTCTCCATTTTGTCCACTCCTTCCCTAGTCTACTTTTAATTCTAGCTAGCCCTGTGCCTCGGGAAAATCCTTTCCCATTCTTCAGGCTTCAGTTTATTCTCTCAAAAGTAAGGGTTGGTTTTCAAATTACTCCTTACACCCCAGGATGGGAATGAAAAGAGAGGAGAGGAGAGAAACGGTATGCTGGGGCTTCAACTAGAGACGTTCACATTGATCACTGATCTTTTATGAAAACAGGTTCAGTCCAAAATATTGGACTTTCCTGATAGCTTTCCTCGAAGAAACAGTTTCTTGGCTTAAATTTCTTATTTTTTTTTTTCAAAACACTGTAGGGATAAAAAACAATTTTGGTTATACTGTTTAGTGGTGCTTGATTTGGGTTCTTGGCTTAACGTTTTTGAAACTAGATGATGTCCTGAATTTCCCCAGCTCTCAGAGTTTATGATTATGTAGCATGTCTATATTAAGAATTTTTCTTATCTCTTCTGCATCTCACACTAACTCTCTTGGTCAAATTTTACTATCCGTATTATCTACTTGAATAAGCCCAGTGAGGATGAGTGAGTTGTCCAAGACGCACGACTAGTGAGTGGCAGAGCGAGTACACATTCATCATTCACTTTCTGCTCACTGAGCATTTCCTGAATGCTGGATGCTGTGCTAGGTTTGAGAGCTATGAAAATGGCTTCAAGCCTGAGCTTAGGGAGCTCACAGATTAGTGGACAAAACAGGCTTATTATGTGCTGCTTACAATACAGTATGTGCCCTGAGATGTGAACTGTAGGAGCACAGAGGAAGCCCAGAGTGAATTTATTTGAAGGAGGTCCAGAGGGTGTCTTGGAGGTGATGTTAGACTGGGTTTTGAGGACCGAGTAGGATTTTGCCTGGTGGAGAAAAGGCAGCTTTCAGGGACCCAGCCCAACACTCTGTAACTGTTGGATATTTCCTCTGCCAAAGATCCATGCTGGAGCCAAGTGGTCAATATAATCTTCTGAGCCCTTCTGAAGGACAACCCTCCCCCCACCCTGCCAAGGATAATTTTTAGTCACTGGCTTAGAAGAAAGGATTTTTTGCCTAAGAGCTGATCCAGGAACTCTAGCCGGGTGTTGCTACCTGGGTGTTCTAGACTGTGAAGTCATTGCGCAGGAAGGAAGCAATGGCGTTTCTCTTGGGCAGGTTCTGGCTCCTCCCTTTCTATTTGATAGCAACTCCCAGTTTCTCTTGGGCAGGTTCTGGCTCCCCCCTTTCTATTTGATAGCAACTCCCAGACGTCACTGACACACGGGCATTCACCGACATGATTATCTGGAAGATCAGAAAACCCCCTATTATTCCACTCCCACCATTCCTGACTTAATTTATGCTACAATGGATATCCAATCCTCTTTTAAAATCCAAATGCCCAGTCCCTGGTAAGAAAAAAGACAAAAAACCCAAAAACTCCCCTGGAAGTGGGAGATGTGACACCAAAGGAGGAACAATCAGTGGCCCCTAATGTTGTCAAGTACCTGAGCCCATCACCTGTTGCACTACAGTTGAGAGAAATGGGAGGTTGAGTGTAGAGGGGGTGGGGTCAGCAAGGGGCTGGAGAGAAGGTGTGTGTGTGTGTGTGTTCGTGCTAGATTGCAAGCAAAACTCATCAAATTTCAGTTTCCTCCCCATTTTGTCTGGGCTTGGTCCTGTCTGATGGTCTCATCTTGATTTGCCAGTTTCAAGAGGCTCTGTTAGTTCCTGATGCATCTGGGCCCCATCTGGAGTCTGCCCTAAAGGCTCAGGCCTTTGGACCCCAGAAAATAAAAATCCTCTTTCCAGCTGAATACACAAGTCATCCCTGGCTTCTTCTGGCCCAGATATTATAGCTCATTGCAGGATTTTCTTCAGAAGCAGCTTCAATGCGTGTGAAGACAGATTGACAACCCTCCCCTCCTCCCTGCCAAGGATAATTTTTAGTCATGTAATTTTCTTCTTTCTTGTGTTTTAGAAAGTAAAACTCACCATCATCAGGATCCCAAATTCGGAGAAATTCCATACTGCAGATTGTAGGTGCCCCTTAAATTATCAAGGTGTTGCTCCTTCTCGACTGGGTAAGTCTGGACTGGAGAGGGAGCTGAAGAGGAGTCCGGCCATTAAAAAGGTGCCCCAGAAAGGGACCTCAGAGAAATGTGCCTGGGACCCACTGCAGCCCAGGCAGGATGGAGCCAGGGCTCTGCCTACCCCGTGACACGAGACGAGGCAAGTCGGCACTCTGTGAATTTCTGCATCTGCATCTTAACAGCAGGGATAACTGTCCCCTCTGTGGCTACTGCATAGAAATGTTGAGACAGTGTGTGAGATGATGACACACACAGTGGAAATGGAAGGCCTCAGTATTATCTGAGACTTTGTTCCAAACACCACAGTCACAGACTGGGTCAGCGTCTCATGTAGTACACGCTGTGTGTCCCATGAGGTCGTCGTCCACACAATCCCTTTGTTAAGGAATGTACGGTTGGAAATACTCCTTCCAGGAAGGCAAGGTTCCCAGGAGAGGTGTGATACCCGATCAGCCTTCCCAAACACCTCCTGCCTCTCCAGAGTGCTGAGACACAGCAACCTCCTGGATTCAATAAGTACCTTGTTTTCTTAAAGATCCAGTAACTTTTTTTAGAAGTCAAGGCCACTTGAGGCCATATCCAGCAAAAATCTGTCTGCTGTATGAAAAATAAGGGAACTACTTAGCACTTCAAAGTTTGAAAGTTCTTAACTAACGGGCGCATTAACTAATAATACTGGAAAGCCAAAAGAATCAAATCCTTTTTTATAAATAGGAAGACAAAGGCAGAGAGCTAAAGCACTAATCCAATTGGGGAATGTTAGAGCAAAAGGAGGCTTCAGAAACAATATCTTACAGTGTTGTCATGGCACGTGGAAGAAATCACGGTCTGGAACGGGACAAGACTTGGCTGCTCTGTGGTTCCAGGCTTCCTAGCTGTTGACTGGCAGAACCCAGAATCTAAAACCAGCTCTGGGAAGCACATATCCTGATTCTCACCTGGTAATTTGGACTTAGATTTGAAAAGATGTTCAGCACTTAGAAGAGACATTCAGAAATATAATTCATTTCCTGTTATCCACATTGTGAGGGGAGTATAAACAAAGTTTTATTTACATGCCCTATTTGATCTACTGTTTCTGCTTCTAGAAATTTACATGCAGAAATACACAAATACATAAAGATACCTGCCAGAAAGAAGCTTATGGTACCACTGTTTGTAATAATAATAAAACATCATTTGGGGATTGCTTATGTAGGATTCACATAATTGAACACTGCAGACGTTAAAAAGTTCAGCATGTGCAGTTATGGAAAAATGTTCACAATACAGTAAAATGAGAAAACCAGCTTAGAGTACAGGCAATAGAATATTGTCTCATTTTTGTAAAAATGGATTTTTGATGTTTGCATGTATATATAACGTTTTTTCACCCTGAGTTAGGGAGAGAGATACTGACCTTGCAGTTCAAATTTAAGCACCTTGCCTGCCACGTAGTCTTAGTTGCGCTACCGTTGCTCTGACAAGCTTTTTTGAGTTAAAGTCGATGATAACACATATCAAATTATTAAAAGAATTACTCCTGAGAAACCCAATGAAGGTTGGCCGTGGGGGAAGAGGCATTTCTGCTGTGTTGGAATTTTTTTTGTTTAGCATATGAGCATATGTCACTTTTATAATAAAAACATACAAGTGTGAAAAAAATATATATGTGTATTTTTTAAACTTTCCAAAGTGGGAAACCACACTTCCACCACAGGGAAGGAAATTAAACAAAAAAACCAACCATCAAGGGAAAACCACCAGGCAGCCAACAAAGTTGACGGATTTCCTACTTTGAAGCCCAGAGAGCCTGGCTGTGGTTTTCCTCAGGAGGCTCCGCGGCAGTGCCCACAGAGCTTAAAGAAGGAGCCGACGACCCGCAGTCACCAGTTCCTTCCACCCCTCACTGAAGGCTAAGAGCTGGAGGCTTTGGAGTTGGAGGCTTTGGAGTTGGATCATGTCCAGGGCGCCTGGAAATGCTGGGGCCGGAACACAGACCCTCTGGCTCCCCGTCCCAGGCTCTTCCCAGCCTACTACAGTGAGGGCGGCCAGCCTGCTCCTGACTCCCTAAATCCCAGACCTTCCCTCCTGCAGCAGAATCAGCTGGGGTACTCTTTAAGCAGATTCTGCTCCCAGAGTTTCTCTCACATGAAGGTTTATTCCCAAAGGAACAAACAAACAATCTACTCTTGAAGCAGATTCAAAGGTTCTCCCAAGCAAAGATTCTGATTCAGTAGGTCCAGTGTGGGGGCCCTGGAATCTGCATTCTCATAACCACACTCCCACCCCACCCAGAGGATTTGAGGGCAGGTGGTCCAGGGAACATCATCCCAGGGGTCCCATAAGAGTCCCATGAGTTCTCTGAGAGGCTACAGAACAGAGTCTGCACAGGGGCGTTTGTAAGGGGAGAGAAGCCATAGTTTTCACTAGTTCTGAAAGTTGCTACAAACTATTACCCCCTACCCCACCTCCAAAAATGCTTTCATTCCTCTGGGCCTCCCCTTTCTCGGAGCCAGAGCTCAGCCACACTTGCCCAGGATTCAACCTAGGTTCTTTTTGCCAATAACAGTAGTGGCCCCAAGGGAAGCATAGAACTACACCTGGCCCCAGAGTGCAGTAATCAAGGAATTTATCTCAGACCCCTCTTCTGTTACTACATGTTTAAGAGAGCTAGAAGACCAGAAAAAGACTGTGCCTTGTATATGTATAATTTCCCCCAAACTAAGAGGGTGGAACCCCCTGAATTCTGCCCACCATACCAACCCCTGGTACATAATGCCATCCAGATTGTTCCCCTCCCAGACCATCCTCCAATGTTCATCCCAACCTGATTCCAGGTGGGTGACATGGAGCTGGGTACCTGTAGAGTGATTAGCCCAGCTGTCCCTGCCAGGGATGGCCCCTGACTGGGCAAATTTCTGGGCGAGAAAGGAGTAATGAAAATAGACTAGAGCTATTCCAGGCCATCACATCAGTGCCCCGAATCTGGTGCACCTCCTCAGTCTTGCCGGAGAAGAAACCAGAGCCCAGAAATGTGGAGAGACTCGCCTGGGCTTCCAGCTCCATGCCATGCCTCCAGCTCCCAGGCCAACACATTTTCTGCACTCGCACTTCTCAGCACGGCATTTGGAGGTACCAGCATTCCTCTTCCTAATGGTTGCCTCCTGCATCCAGAACAGGCGGCATAGGGAGTCTATATGTCTCCACTTTGTTCTGTTGGCTGAGGATCCGAACTATTCACAGTGAAATCTAAAAAGCAGCTGGTAAGACATGGAATACGTGCACTGGGCCGAATACGTGCACTGGGCCAATTACATACACTCATACTTGAAGCTGTCAGCGTGTTAGCGTGGGTTCCAGAAAGGCACTCATGTCTGTAGAGAGCAAACTGTCCCTTCAAATACATGTACATAAGTGTGAATATAGACATAGGTGGGATGGAGAAGACAGGTGAGAAGCCACAATAATTCTTCAATAAACTGAGAGGCTGAACCTCTCCCAGTCCCCTCCACCCGCTTCTCGTCAGGGCTTGTGCCAAGTGACTTTCCCTGGAGATAATGAGAAGAATTTAAAGTATAAACAGGCCCCAAGGGAGAGGCCTTTCAGATTCAGCGGGATTAGTTCTGAGTTCTTTAGTGAAGCTGAATTTGTAGATATGCTTTTTTATTTTTAATTGAAAAGGCTCTTTAAAATGTCTGAGTTCATGAAACCTTCATCTAATGATCCAGCATCTGGTAGGATTTTAAGGCCAGTCTCTATATTATCTCCGGCTGGATGGTTCTGGGAAACTAAGAGAGCTGAAAGTGAATCCTGGACTCACAGCACTGGACTCTGGAGCTGCCCTGCCCAATACGACAGCCACTAACACGTGGGGCTATTTAACTATAAGATAATGAAAATTACATATATGAAATTTAAAATCCATTTCTCGGTTGAACCAGCCACACGTGAAATGTTCCGTAGCCCTATGTGGCGAGTGGCTCCAGTGTTGGGAGGTGCAGATAGGAAATATATCCATCATCACAGTACACAGGTGGACAGAATATCCATCATCACACTACAAGGGTGGACAGACCACTCCTGTGTTAAGCCCCTCAGAGGGAACAACCCACCTGGGTTGCATTCACCACCATATTCCTAGCACATAAATACAGTGTGTATAGCTCAAAACAAGTGGAAAATCTGAGTGGAAAGAAGGAATCACTGCATTTTGTGTTAAATACTAATTCATAGCTGAAAAAGCAGTCAAGGACTCTATTTTGTTCACAGTAGTGCCAAAGAAGATGAAATATTT